ATAAGCAATAAGCTCTTGATAAAATCATGTCAAACCTGGCCACTTTCTATATATTTTGAATATAAAAATACAGGAGGTCAAAGACAACATTAAAGAAACAGAGTAGAAATTACAAGAGCATATCACATGTAACAAGGATGCTTGTGGCTTACTTAGCCTTTTTTCTCATGACAGAAAGATAAGCAGATAGATAAAAACAAGAATTTACTTATATGTGCACATGTGAATATGCATTAAATGTGATTGATACATTTTTTATAATGTACTGTTCTAGTACTAGTGCAGTGTTCTAGTAGGGAAGACAGGTAGAGAGGGGAGAAATTCAAGGGATCTTTTTAGCTCTTACTCATAAAATATGAATTTTTAAGAAAACAGAATATGTAAATTATTCAGGGAGTTTTCCAGAGGAGTGACTCCAAAGTAAACCTGTTCTCTACTTTGTTTTGGCTTTTGTTTTCTGAATACATTATTGTAAATTATCAACATGTAAAATATTTGAAGAACATTGCCAATGATGATTGCATTCTTATTTATTTAACATCAGTTTTGTGTGTGTTATGAAGACAGACTACTATCAAAAACCATGCTTTTAACAGCATCTATAAAACTGTATCTGTTTTTCTTTCCTTCCCCTAGTGGAATACATAGAGAGACAATTATAACACAGATGATACGGCAATAGCAGGTATGCATATGTTATTGTAATAGCATGTAGGACAGTCCCCGCCGGGAGGCCACTAAGTCTGTGGAAGTCAGGAAAGGAAATCAAGAGATGAGTTCTCTGCTCTGTGGAGTGTTTCAGAAGTTCATTAAGTTGTCTGATATTAGGTGGAGGAGTAAACATTTATCTGTGTAAGAAAGGGAGACCAGTCTATTTCCTAGTTCTGATCTTTACTTCTTTGGAGTATAAATAAAAGTCTAGAGTGTTCTTACCATAGGCCATGTAAAGTTTTTATCAGCCTCTGTCCCAGAATGTCACAAGTGGATAATTCTCTTAAGGGAGGACTACAACCACATAAGAAGCTCTCACTAGAGAAACAAACCTCCTGATTTTAAAGCTATCTGAAATTTACTTTCTTCTGTTCTTCATCTTCTATTCTCTCATCTCCTTTTATATGTTCTGGCAAAGACCAAAAACCAAGATAGTAACTTCTCATTTGCACATTGGGTCATCTCTCGCAGAACTTCCTTTTAAGTCATTTGGAAATTTTGTCCCTAGAGTGAACTGTCACAATAGCATGCATATATTTTCTGGCTTTGTAGCCAGATAGTGGCATGGGTGTAAACATTGGTTAATTTTAAGAGAGGAGTGAGGTATTCCTTCTGGTATCACGTCACATCACCTACTTATACCAAGATTTTAATTTCTAATTGAAGGTTTACACATGATATGCCCATTTTTACTTTTTCTATGTTTATTTAATAAAAGACATAATGAATAAAAGAGAATCCTGTGCTGAAATATACTCTGATTCTCTCTCCCCTATTTCTTTCTCTGTCTCTGTCTTTCCATATACACACAGATGCACACACTCACACACAAAAAGGAACACAAAGATGCCCATATATATCTTTATATACCTATATAAACATATAAAAACAAAATTGACACCAATAGCAAATGAAATGAAGAAAAGTCAGCCTGAGGTTAAGAAAATGCAAGCCAATGGTAATATGTCACCTCAATCATCTAGTAGTTATTAGTGAAAATGAAGACATATTAAATCTTGATCACTAATAGGTAAAGTGTCTGATACCCATGAAGAAAATGTACCTAACTTTCTAGGAACTCCAGGTTAATCTCAAACAATTGAAAATCAGCTTTTAAGAACAGATACTGGCAACTTGCATAACAAAATTACACAACATCAGTGTAAGCAGAAATGAGGAAAGATCATCCTAAATTATTAACAATGAACTATACATTATTTTAACCTTCCTTTTTTTCAGGTACTTATTCTTCTCTCATTCCTGATCATTCTTACTCTGATATTAATAGATAACAAACGGTTTAAATGGGTACAAAGAAGAAATAGTAATAGTAATGATTATGATGGTAATAACTCACTGTGATACTGTGGTTTGTGATAAGAAATATACATTTTGTTTGTCCATAGTTCTTAGCTCACAACTCCCAGTACTCTTAGAATTCCCTAAGTACTTTTGGACAGCACCTTAAGATGGGGACATGTTGCCAGGAAAATCAAGCATGTTGTTAGAAGGTTGGAACTTCAGTCTCTTCCTCCAGACCTCTGGGGATGGGAGAGAGATTGCAAGTTGAATTAACTGCTGGTGGCCAGTAACTTAATCAACCATGCCCAGGTAATGAAGCCTCCATATACATCCAAAGGACAGGGGTGAGAAAGCCTTGGAATTGGGGAACACACGGAGATGTGGGGAGAGTAGTACATTAGGAGAGCGTGGAAGCTCCGCGCCCTTTCCCCACTCCTTGCTCTTTGCATCTCTTCCATCTGCTGTTCCCTAGTTGTGTCCTTTTGTAGTAAATCAGTGATCTAGTATGTAAAATGTTTGAGTTCTGTGACTCACTGTAGCAAATTAATAAAAAGAAGGGTTTATTGGAGCCTCGAATCTGTAATGGGTAAGTGAGAAGCACAAGTAGTGTCTGAATTCCAAAGTAGAGGACAGTCTTGTAAGATTTTGAAACAGTTTTGAAGTTGCTTGTAATTCGTTATACACCATGTTCAAAACTTTGCATGCATTAGCTCATATAATAATCAAGTAAACTGTTACATAGGTAGGACTGACATACTTATTACAATAAAAAAAAATCTAAGGTATAAAATAGATTTCTTATATTTACTCAACCAAGAAGTGAAGCAGATGAAATAGAAAAAGGAGAGAGCAAAGTAGAATGGTATTTGTTTAATGCTTACTATCTCCTATATGCCAGATATGATTTTAAAGAAATTGTGTATGTTATTTTAATTTGAATCATCCCCAAAATTCTGAAAATAAGGACACTTGGAGAAGTTAAAGAGCTTGTTCAAATTCATAGAATTAGTAGATGGCCCGCTAGGAATTTTAAAACCAGAATAGTCTTATTCTGGACCACATGCTAGGTTATGAATCCACTTAGGAAGTCTTTGCTTTAATAGAGCATTTGGAGGTAGGAGAGGGAAGCCCCTCCCACAAGAGTCTCTGTTGAGCCATAAGAAGGGCTCTGTCAGTGTGCTGAGATGAGGGCTAGGTGGTCGGGCCAGCCCTGCCTCCTTCCTCTTGCCAGCGATGCCTCTGTTGTCCATGACATATCCCGTATTCTAACTTTGGCTGTGCTCTTTCAAACATTATAACTTCTTCTTTTTAAAGGTTAGAGACAGTTTGCTTAACATATTGGAAAAATCATGGGTTCATGCCTTGGTACTGTATGAATAGAAGCAAGAAACTTTTCTGAGTTATTTATTTTTTAGTAAAAAATAATAAGTGTGATTGTGTTGTGAGGATCCGAGATAATTTTACAAGTGAGCCCTTCTATTTTGCTCTAACTGTCATCATTTGTAACCAGATTATAAAGAAATCTGAATGTGATAGGTTGAGACAGAAATGGGATTGAAATGGGGACCCCCTAGGAGCGTGGGTCAAGGGCTGAGGGCAGAGATTAACACGCTGATGCTGAAAAATTGTCTGCTCTTTATGTAACACCTGATGTCTGGAGAGCCAGGCATTAGGATACATTGCAGGTGCACAGTGAGTGCTGCTATGGCATAGCAGAGAAGGACCACCATGGCTGCCCTTACAAGTGGGGAGAACAGATAACCGTGAATCCATTAAAAAGAAACAATTTTGCACCTGGGAAAGTCAACAGTCATTATTAGATAGACTGTCTTCAGGAAGCAAGTGTCCCAGATGACAGACAAGGCTAGGTTTCAGAAGCAAAACTCCACGCTCTAATCCAGGTGATTGAAGGAAGCCTTGCAAATGAAAGGCAGGCTCATGGTTCTTAGAGGAGCTCGGATCCCAAATCACTGCCTTGGACAGAGACCGCATTAATCATGTTTGTAACTTCTGCAAATTCGATCCTTTAGCATACACCTTATACATATATGCAGACATCCCTTGTATGAATAACCCAATAATGTTTGAGTCATCCTGCCTTAACCTCCTTCTTCCGCATTGCTATTCCCTTCCCTGTCTCCCAAAGTATCTTCCTTCTGATGGTATGCTTTTCAAATACAGACTAAGCAGTACAGAACCCACAACCCCGATCACCCTTGTATCAGGTTCTCACACTCCATTCCACTGTGCACCAGCCTTAATCAACCCAGGGCCAAGTTACCAGACAACCAGGGGTCCTCTCTGTGCCCCAGAGCCCAGTGAAAATCATTTTAACTAGTCATTCCTAAGACTGCTTACCCTGCTTCTCCCATTCCTCCCCACAGAAACCACAGTAAAACTGTTGTCTACAGTGCCCTGCCTCCCTCCTCCTTGCAGTCGGAGCAGTATTTCCCTGTGGTCTCTGTCACTGGGAGAAATAAAATACCTTTTCAAAGGCATTTGTTTCTTGTTGCTCATACAATACCTCAACTTTTCTATCAATATACTACGTTTTAAAACAGGTCCATGTTCTGGACACAAGATAAAACGTCCATTCCCAATAAACGGTGCATAAGGTATCTAGGGATAAGGTAGAAATCTAATTTTTAGCACTGCTATCAAAAGCACCATCCTTCCTGCCTATGGCAGATGTTAGTCATAAGAACTAAAATGTCGGGGTCAAGGGAACATTATTTGAAAACAAAAATTTGGAGGGAGTTTTGATTTTTTTTTTAAGATTTTAAGTATTTATTTTTTTTAGGGAAGAAAAGAAGGAGAAAGAAAGAAACGTCAATGTACGGTTGCCTCTCCTACCGGGGATCTGGCCTAGAAACCACACCTGTGCCCTGACTGGGACTCAAAACGGCGACCCTTTGGTGTGCAGGCTGGCACTCGATCCACTGAGCCACACCTGCCAGGACCGGAATTTTGATTTTTTTTTTTTAAGTCAAGGGAGAGCACAAAGGCAGTCCCCCGCCACCACTAATTAACGCAGTCGAGTTTCCCACATTGGGGGGAACTCCAGGGCTCAGCACATCCGCAGCGCAATAGGTAAGCCGTGCCCTGCGAAAACCACCTTCGTGGTCATGGCATTTCCCCTGCCAGATAAATATAAGAAATTTTGATTCTTAAACTTTAGGTTATGTCAGAAACACCTGTGGAGCTGACTAAATTAGGCAGATGGTATTCCCTCGCTTGATAGATTCCTGTTCAGTAGATGTTGCGTGTGGTTTAGGGATCTGTACAGTATAGCTTGGTTCAAGGTCAGTTACACCCCATAATTCAAGAGCCAGAGCATTGATGTGGGGCTTGACACCAGCCCTCTTGCCCTAACCCTGCCCTCAGTTTTTCTTCCATAAGTGAGGGCTAGAAATTAGAAGTCCCCTAAGAATCAAATACAAGAAAAATATTTACTGGAATGAATGCTGATCAAGTATTTTTATGTCCTTCACGACTGCATTTTCTTTATTGTATATTCGCTTTTATTTTGCACACATATACTTGTTCCAGAACGATTTTTGAAAAAAGAAAAAAAAAAGGACAATATCCCATTGCCAAATCAAAGGACACAAAAAAGAAACACACTTACAGTGGCCTGTTGTTTTTCTGCCTTCTCAGATGTCTCTTTCAGTTGATTTTGCAGGGCCTCCTGGAGAGACTTCATTTGTTCTCTAGTTTAGTAGGAAACAGAGCACAAGAGAGACATAATATAATTCTGTTATTTCCTGTGTACATAATGAAAGGAGGTTTTGCTGGATGCATACATTTGGGAAACAGATAACAAGAATCGAATAGAGACAGAGTTAAGCACATGGGGTATAATCCAGGGTTCTGGCAATAAAGGGTTTTTTTCTCCCATGCAAGCAAGCATTAAAAGCAAGCTATATTTCAAGGAAATTGCCTTGCTATTGTGTCTTATAAGAATCCCACTGTGTGAATCACCTGTGAGCTGCACAATGTGTTAAATTAAATCAATATAATAATTAGTGTTGAAAAGCTAATTTTAGTGACGGCATGCCAAGGTGTGAACATGTTATTTGGGGAAAATGTTACAATAGGTTGATAATAGGATAAAATTAGTCTTCCTTTCTGATGCTCTTAATTGATTAATTCTCCAGCATTGTACTTTAGACATCCATTATAAAGCCTGAGACTTTTTATAAAAACAAAAAGAAAAAAGACACTTCTAACTTGACGGTTGCCTCATTTATTGGTGATAATAAAATAAATACTTGTCTGCATATATAAAAACATTGTTTCTCAAACTCATTAAATACATATGAACCCTGTCCACTTGTTAAAGGTATAAATATTTCCATAAATATTCATTCTTTTCAAGGGTTTAGACTTTAACAATTTATGAGAGATTGTGTTATCATTTTTAATTTTATTTTTCAATCATATTTACATTGAATATTATTTCGTATTAGTTTCAGGTGTAGAGCATAGTAGTGAAAGAGGGTGAAGGGATTAAGAAGTAGAAATTGGCAGTTAGAAAATAGTCACAGGGATGTAAAGTACAGCATAGGGAATAATATTGTAATAATGATGTATGTTGCTAGGTGGGTACTGAAAATATTGGAGAAAACACTCTGTAAAGTATATGATTGTCATATTATCTTTCTGTGACTTAGTTTTATCTCCTCAGCTATCACTTCAAAAAGTTCAGGTAAGAGTTGATGTGTCAGAGAGTGAGTATGTGTGTGTTAATTTTGCCTCAAGGAATAAACTCTTTCAAACAGAAACCTTTCTAGTCTTACTAGCAACCAAAGTAATTTAAAATTCCCAATCTAGTTCCAAAAGACTCCATCTGGAACCTTGGTGTGTAACCACAATACAAACACTAGGGCCTAAGAGAGGACCCTCTTAGAGTCATGTTTTAAATCTACAAAATGGGCACAATAATAGAACTATTATTGTTCATGGAGTCGCCTACTATGAACAATGGGATTTAATGATGTCCCCAGTTTTATTGCTTTAGAAATTCTTATGTCCCAATTTCAGTTTCAGAAATATTAATGAGAGTCAGTGTGATTGTTAAAATGAATTTGGGCTTTGTCAAAGCAAAATACGATCAAAACAAGTTATAAAATAATTACAGTCATTTGGTTCTTAGATGATTTATGCTTGCTTGAGTAAAGTTTATATATAACATGCTTTTGCTTAAAGTGGATTTTAAATCTCAGCTCCCATTACTTCCTCAAAGCAGCTTCATTTTATCAGAATTTTTTCATATATGAACATTTAAAATTCGGGCTCCCATTATCATTTCTGGTATTTTCCACAAAGAGCACTTATGATATTAACATAACACAACACAACATAGCAGTAACATCTATATATAGTAGGCCTATGATGTAAGAGGGACATCAAATTATGATATATTTAATATAAAAAACTGATGTAGAGTGAGGTGGTAGAATTATAATCTGGAGCCTATGTGCTCAAACTGTAGAGAATCATTATACTAATGAGAGAGAGAGAGAGGAAGTTTCTATATCTTATCCCTAACACTCAAATCATCAACAAGCACCGAATAAAATACAGTCAAACTATTATATTCCCAATGGATTAAAACCAGTTTAGCAAAATGTTATAATTATCATTTTAATATTATTTTTGCATTTAAAACTATCAGCTTTTAATTTTTTTAGTTATTAAATGCTATATCTATATTTTAAATAATTAAATAATACATATTTTATAAAAATGTAAATATGTATATATTCAAAAATTCCCACATACTGACATCTATAGGCAATGTATGGGAAAAGAAAAAAATAGCTATGAAAGCTATAAACAAAAACTGGAGCAGTTAGAAGATTCTGTATATTTTCACGGCAAGGAAAGCTATCAGACAATGTCAAAGTGGGTCTTTTGAGTCTTCTGACTTTCTCCATCTCCTCCTCTGCCTTCTAGGATTATTTCTGCACATTCTTGCTGCTCTTAGGCTGGAGGTGGGCCAGCATATCGGTCTCTCAGACTTGCTAATCCATACACCTGTGAAAGGTGATTCCTGACTTGCTCATGCAACTTAACAGTTACAAGGAATCTTAAAGGACAGCTGTTTCATACATCTGCCATCCCAAATTCTAAACACACACACACACACACACACACACACACAGAGTCACTCCACAAGGAGGCTTTTTTTTTCAAGTGGTTACAGCTTGTATTATAAAAACCTCACAGATGGAGAAGTTGCCACTACCCCGGGCATGCTTTTCATTTTCAGAGAGTGCTATATTGTAAAATCCTTTTAGTACACAGAGTCCAAAACTGCCTGCTAGGAACGAATCTCCATCCACCAAACACTAGAGACAATAAAATGTTTTATATTAGCTTTATCTCAACAGTCTTTCAGAATCTTTAGGGTACTCCCTTGTCTCCCTGAGTCTCTGTTTTGTAGTTACATATACTCACTTTTCACATAGTATGTTTTAAAATCTTTTCAACAACCTGCAGCCTCTCTCTTCTAGCAGTATAATCTAGGCTGTCTAAACATTTCTGAAAATCTAACACTCAAAGAGTCAATGCAAAAACCCTCTCCCTCCTCACCCTCTCTCCCTCATACATACATATAAAAGCATGCACATATGCTCGCGCGCACTCGCTCTCTCTCTCTCTCTCTCTCTCTCTCTCTCTCCAGAAATGATCTGCTCTCTCCACATGATCATTTATGGCCACCTCATATCCTCTGAGGTTAGTCTAGTTTCAGCTACACAGAGCTACTGATTGGTTGTCTCTTGGTTATATTCCTGAAAGGTTATATTCCTGAAAGGTTATATTCCTGAAAGGTTATATTCCTAATAGAGTCAGTTGTTATTTCAGAGACTGCCTTTGAGCCAGTTAACTGTGGCCAGTGATGTCAGAGTCACATAAAAAGCATGACTTCTAAGGACTACTTTTCCAGAAAAGGCCCAGGTGGCAAGGCTACCAGAGGGCCAGGATTATCAATAGTTGGGTGCATAGCTACACCGCATCTACAACACACTATACTTTTTCTGACTCTAAATAATGTTTCTACATTTGCAATCAGTTAATATATTTTTATATTCGAAGATCATATTTTTCTTTTAGTCTTTATTAATATTTATTAGTTTGGAATGAGATACATAGCCATCTTCACATTCAGATAACTATGATTGCTATATGTCTCTCTTTTTTTTTTTTAATGGCCATTTATTTTATTTATTTATTTTTTTAATTAATTTATTTACTTTTTAAATACATTTGTCTCTGCCTTCCCCCCACCTCTTTCCCTTGCCCCCTCCCACCTTCCCTCCCTCAGCTCTTCCCCTTTGGTTTTGTCCATGAGTCCTTGCTATATGTTCCTTGACTTTCCCCTTCCCTTCCCCTTCCCTGCCCCCCCCTTCCCTCTTGTCTCTGTTGATTTCTTTTCCTTTCAGTGTTGCTGGTCATATTTTCCTTGCCAACAATGCAAAGAAGCAAGGAAAATATGATTGCTATATGTCTCTAAGTAAATGACAAATTTTTTTTTTTAATTTTAGGGGAAAAAAATCTTTGAAATTGCAATACCAAAATATCTGCCCCATATAACCCTCTCATTGAAAGACTTAGTCCATCGCCTGTTAGTTTCTAAAATGAACAAAATACGTAGATGTTGATTAAGAAATTCTTAATAAACCTAACCACATTTTTTCCTAGTGTGCCTGCATATTTCGTGCGTCATATACAAACAGCCATAGATAATTTACAACAATATTAGCAAACTAAAGGAACAGGCTTTTTCTTATCACCATCATGCATAAGGCTGTCTCCTCTCTACCTCTCCTGCAATAAACAAAGGCAGACGTTACTGCTCTTTCACTCTGTGGCCCTCAGTGTTGAACTCTCCCTGTCCTCTCCTCTAAGTTCTCCTTTCTCCACCTGCCCTATGGCTTTTCTCTTGCCCTGCACAATGCAGAATATTCCCCCTAAAATGCTTTTTAAACTTGTATCATTCTCTTATGAAGCTACCTAATTTGGGTTCCTTCCAATCTTGAAAAGTTTTTGTTGCTGTCTATGTACACAGCTTTATTTTCTGATGTTCTCTGACTTCCTCTGTGTTCCTTAGTCACTGCAACCCTCTCTGTGGAGCTGCACTTGCATTGCACAAAGGTCACTTCTGTTATTATGTTTCTGTTTTCGTCCTCTGCCATTGTGGAATGCTGACCAGAAAGTAATCACTTTCAGTGTCTCTTGGTCTATTTTGACTAGTTATTTCTACTTAAAGTGTTGTTTATAATTCTCCAACACTAATTCAATGAGCCACAAATAGTTGTATAATATTAAACGTACATATGTTAAGTTCAAACCATAATAATTTTAAATGATATACTTTTGGAAACATGTTCACACCAATATTTCTACAAGCTCTTTTTAACATTGAATTTGGGAAAAAATCATGTTCAATCATAATTTGATTTTAATAATAAAAATAGTGAATAAAGGACAATAGCTTTGATTTTAATATGTCATCAGCTCAATCCAAATATAGGCTGATGAGAGGTTTCTGAGTCAAGAGGCAAGGAGAGTGGAGAAAATATAAAATGCTAAGAAGGGACTGCATAGTGTAGTGTGTGTAAACCTTTAACCGCATTTTGCTTTGTGATCAGTAAACTAAAGTGAAAAGGTATGGCTATCATGTCAGAACACAGCAGAGCAAATTCCAATTAATACAGCTCTTAGCCAAGCACTTACACACTTTAAGCAACAGTTGTTAAATGAGTATAATAATACCCGCTTTAGAAGGAAATTGTGAAGGTGAAGCAAGGAAATGTACATAAACCATCAAGGAAATGTATAAAAAGTGCTAGCTTGTTTCTACCTTAAAAATACCCTTTTCTTTCAGAGCCATTTCAAATCACAAAGCTTTAATATTGCATAGAAATCCACCTCATAATACACTTCCTTCAAAAATAAACCAACACTAATTACACTGCATTAGTTCTATTTATATTGTTCCCATTCCTTACCACCCCCATCGTTATCACTATGATAGAGTTTTTATATTAAAAATTGGCTCACTCAGGTCAGTGTTATTGGATCTGTCTACTGATGGGCGGACTTATCAGGGTCCACCATGGGAGGTAACGTGGGAAGTGCTGCAGATCCTCGAACACTGGAATCCAGGCCTGCATCCCCATCACAAGGCAGTTTGTAAGAAATGCTAAATCACAAACCCCACCCTCCTTTTGATGTATAATAATCTGCATTGGAACAAGGTTCTCTTACATTCAAATGTAAGAAGATCAATAAATTAACACATTTAGAATGAACTGATTTTTTTGAAGCTTCTGAATAGAGCTCAACACTATGGAAAATAAAGATCTGAGGAAATGAAAGGAAAGCACAGTGTTACCTTTGTTTCTGACCTATTTCCAGAAGCTTCTGAACATCGGTTTTGGCAGATTTCTCTTCATTTTTCAAAGACTAAGAAGAAAAAGGGAAAAGGAAGTTTTATTCAAGTGATAAATTGAGGTTCACTTTTCTTTTGTCTGTATAGCACAAGGTGTGACTGCAATTATGCCTTGGAACTAGAATGTGTAAATGAGGTCATGATGTCTTCATGGTTCTAAGGATGCACACAGGAATTCATGACTCCAGGTGGTGCAAGTGGGTAAAGGGAATGAGCAGAGACTGAATCTCCAGAGGTTAAATGGAGGGGAACATGTAGGTCTCTTAATAAATGAATATAAAAATATATCTTCTGCTCTTTATTTGAAGCTTTACTGTGTCCTCTCTAGGCATATTAAACAACTCTAGAATAGTTTCTAGATATACAGGGGGTCATAAAAGCCCTCCCTGAATGAGCTAAGTAATAATATAATTCAAAATCAAAGCAGCCAAAAAGTATTTACCTGTTTGGAATTGTCTATTTATTATTTATGAGTAATGTGTTAGACTACAAAGAACTAGGGGCATGTAAAATTAACTGGTCTGAGCAGATAGGGTAGTAAGAATAAAAAAATACCACCTCAGTCATTAGACTTTATTTACTCTGGCAAATTCAACAATCACAGACCATGAATTAAAGCAGAAAAGTCCACTGAGCTTTCTTATTAGAGAGTCTGTCCCAGTAAGCCTTTCCTAAGAACTTTCTTACTTATACTCAATAAATTATTTAATAGGGTAACCTATTTTTCTTGATATTAAGAATTGAAACTGACAGGCAATAATATTGTTTGTAAAAAAAGAAGCTGTGACAAGTAGGGAATTGACAATAGCAAGAATGACAAGCACTTTGTTACTTAATATTTATTTAACAAATATCTATCTTGAATTATTCAGAGACAGGTACAAAAGCATGGTGTCTGCCTTCACAAACTTTCTAATCCAATGCTAAAAATAGGCAATATTCATAAAGTAAGATAAGCATTCTGATGGGGCTATGGTGGGCTGAACTTCAAATGAGAAAGTAATTCCCTAAAATGCCGGCTTTTATTATCAAGCAACCAATAAAAGAAGCTCTGCTTATTTGGGAAGAGCAGCTTCACATAAAATACCAAGAAAAATATGACACAGAAGTACAATGTGGGGAAAAGTCACCAAACTTGAGATTTAAATTTCAAAGTGCATCATGGTCATATGACTAAGTAGGTCATGAAAGATGTTTTTTGACTTCCTTATGTGAAAAACAGGGATGATAATTTTGAAGAACCTACTTTAGACAGTTAATGGAAAACTCAAAGGGGATAATAAATGTGTAAAAGCACTTGATGAAAAGTGCAATAAAAATATGCTTATTAATTCATTGACCATCTCTTATATTCTGGACATTTCAAAGAAAACTAAGATTTAAAAGGCCGGGTACTATCTTCAAGAAATTTAAGATTAAAAAAACAAACAAATAAAATATGAGATGCAGAAATGGAAATGTAGATATGTAGATGAGTGGCAGCAAAGCTAATGTAATTAGAAGAGCTGGAGTGTACTTGACTCTTATTTCCTCAGCAATATCCAAAGAAACAGATTATATTTCTTGGAAAAACATTTTTGGTTCATAAAAGGATGCTAAAGGTTGACAGACCTACTCATTAATCAGAGTAATCAAAATAATATTTATCGATTGACCTATATTAGCATCCCATTCTGATGCTATGATTATAGAGATAAACAAGACCTCCAAAGCTCCTGTCTTCAGGAAATCCCCTTGGGAGAAAAATATGTACAGTGGGCTACATGGTTATTCACTATGAATTTGAAACCTCGAATCACCATTTATTAGATGTATTTCCTTTGGCCTACATAAGTGTTGTTTCCTGATTTTACAAAGAGAATAACACTATCTTAATTCTGTAGAGAAGTTGTTAAGAAGGTTTAATAAGATAATAAAACAAAAACCACTTTGCACAATGATTGGCAGAAACTAAACAAAAGGTGTCTTAAAAACTGCAACTACATTTTGATTGTTACCCTTTCAAAAACGTAACTCCATGAAATTATTTCTATTAAGCAATTTTCTAAATTGTAATTAGATGTATTAACTTAGACTGCTGGTATATAGAGACTGAGTGTCCTGAGAATATTGTGAACATTGACCACTCATCAGCTTTTTACCATATGCTTCAAATATTCTCAAAGTGCCAGGTGTTTCATTCCTTGAGGAAGTGAGATGTCTTGACTATTCTTTGTAGCCTCATATAACAAGTGAATTTCTACCTGAGGATAAGGTATATCTATGGTATTAGATTCCTATGAAAATGAGCTTACGCCCCTTTTCATCCTAGTCAGTGCTTCCTTAATGTTCTGTGAATACTTCTATCACAACACTGTTATTCCTGCACTGTGGTCCTGATACCTGTCTCTCTGTCCTACCGGAGAGTGGATGTGTTTTGTTTCTTTCTTTTCACGTTCTCAAGATGTAATAGCTTCTGGGACAAGAGGTTGGGCATTGAATTCAAATACTAGTTGTGCTGCCTAACTATCTCTGTGCTCTCGATAGCTTATTAATCATTCTCTGTTTTTTTCTTTCACCTACAAAATGAAACTACTAATACACATAACATACTTGTCGGGTGAAAATTAAATAAGAACTGTAGAAAGAGTACCTAACACAAGACCTTGACCATGTTCCATAAGCTGTAGTAGTTACTGACACCATCATCACCCTCATCATTAGCATCACCATAGGAATAGAAAGCGTTGGACAATGGTAACTCCATGTGGTTCTGAAACAAGGTTCATTGCAATAGCTAATAGACAGGCTCTGGAGCCAGATCACTTGGATTTAATCTCTGGTTTCCCTTGTGACATTCTCAAATGAATGATCTTCTCAAAGCACAATTCCGCATGTATAGCAAGAAAAATCATGTTAATAGTATCTACCTCATAAATATATTATGAAAATTAAATTCCATAAAATGGCCAAAGCTTTTAGTGAACATCGTATATTCAATACATACAATGTTTAAGCTAAATATTAAAATATCATATATTTTAGAAATTTTTTCTTATCCTATATAAATCTTGTTTTTTTGAGATTTCACCAAGTGTGTTAATACATTTTTATAATGATACTCTCCTTTCAAGGCATTTACCCACTTTAATAATAGAGTTTATTAGAGAATCTTCAGAGTTAATCTTTGTGGGATTTAAATTTCTTTTCTAGGGAACATGCTTATAGTTATTCAGTTCTTGATAATTATTTTTCATCATTTCATAATATAAAAAACACAGGGGTCAAATTGATCTTAGAAACAGTGAGAAATTGATGGCTTCATGAAGCACACAATTTCTTCATTCCTGTATTTGCAAACCACAGATTCCCAGACTGAATTTCAATAGGCATTTCCTCTCAAAGCTCATAGAATAATAATCACTTTCATGGTCAAGCCCAGAAACATACTCAAAACTGGAAAAAAAAATTCAGGTGTCCACCAAGACATGTTAATCTACCAAGACAAACCAGATACCCCTCATCCTTTGCTGATAGGAAATCTAGTTTTCATCTCACCTGAAGGTTAACTTTAATTCCATCAAGCTCTCTTGATGTCTTTGTGAGTTGATGCAGGATGGTGCTTCGCTCCTTAAAGACTTCTTTCAGTTGCTTTTGTAGTTCTTCATAGTCCTGTCTAACACAGAAAGAAAGGGTGTGAGAGCCCCCTAATGCTTCCACTTTAGTCATAATCACAAGCCCTTGCATTTAAAGCAAAATCTAGAGTAATTGAAACCTTAATTACTAGGATGCTTTGTTCTAATTCTTTCATCAAAATGGGGAAAATTGAAAAACTATATAGGTTTACAACAAAGATTTTATTTTGCATTGAAGACTATCCAGGCTACAGAGAATTTCCGGAACAATATTGTACATCGTTTACATGTATAACATATTTTATCAGGTTCCTATCAGGACAAAGATATTTTCACGACACCAACACACTTTTTTCAAAGACCCTTGAAGTTTTACAACAAGAGGTATGATTTGTGCCAATGGATCTTGAAGACAGAGCCAGGTCCTGACAGTGGGAGCTGGGGGAAACTCCGCAGTAGAGCCAGATCAGAACGCAGGGGCCTTGCCTCACCTCTGGTTTGTAGGGAAGGAAGTCCATTGAAAAGGCACCCTTTCCAAACATGTCTAAGATTCTCTATTGCTATTAAAGAGCTATTGAAAAATACACTAAAATATCAATAAAAATTAGGCAATAAATATAGTGAAATTTGAGCAGACTTGTTAACAACTACCATTAAAAAACATTTATGTCAGTATCATGCATATATACATATATAATTTTTCCATTTTTCTCATGTAATCTTTATAAGAAAATACAGGTATGTATTGTAATTTTATTTAAGAAAAGAAGAAGAAGTAAGTTCAGAGACATTAAGTTACTACCCTAAAATTCTATTTAAGGAATGAATGTGTGTGCATGCCTGTGTAGCAGGGGAATATAGTCAAGGAAATAGATAATTGCCAGTGTAACTTAGAATTATAACAGATTGTGGGAGGTTAAAATGATTAATTGGAGCACATAAGAGAGATGGTAATCCAGGGAAAACTTCCTGGAGAAAGTAATATAAAATACATGAGGTGGTCCTTGAAAGATAAGTAGAAATTAGCTATATTAAGTTGGAAAGCATGTGTAAATACTAATGAAAATGAGCGTACTGAATTAAAAACAAAGTGCATAAATGTCCAATGGTTTGGAGTTCTCATTAGGCAGTGGGAAGTTTGTCTTTGAAATGAGGATGTGAAAAGCATAAACAAAATTATGCAAGACTCTTAAGCAATGGGTAGGAGTTTGTGCATTTTAAAAAAAAAACAAAGGGAAGTAATTTAAAAGTTTTCCAGGGAGTGACATTGTCTGATTTATGTATGTTTTGGCAATATTCTCCTGGTTAAAAACTGGGGAGTTAATTGGAAGGAGGAAATCCTGGAAAAAAGAAGTTACCCTGGCAATAATCCAGGGAAAAGATTGAGGCTGCCGAAATTAGGTTAGAAGCAGTAGAGACAGGGAAGCTTGGACTAGTTTCAGCAAAACATGCAAAATTGAATCACTAACATATAATTAAAAAAATATTTTGTCTGTGTTGGAAGAGGACTTTATTTATTAATAATGCCATGTTTCTGGCTTAGGCAACTGTTGGACACAACCCTTCACTGAGAGAGAAGTCATAGGATCAACAGTTTTTCAGTGAAAGTTGAGTTAAAAAGTTTAAATTTAAAACTTGGAGGAAAATGGCCTCAAACTTTCTCACCTTTAGTTTCTTTATCAGTAAAATGCAATACTAACACTGACCTCAATCAGATCATCATGTGTTAAATGAAGCAACTTCTGTAAAGCTTTAAAACCATAGTAGGTAATTGATTTTAAAAATATAATATAAAATTTCTATTTCTGATAGATCTGGTAAATTTGCAGTCTTTCTGCAGAATTATAAAGGACCTGGGTCTATTAATGGCCTTAGTGATGATAAATGTGTCATCCACAATAGGTTTCTATTACCACTCTTTGCTTTTGTTCCAATTTTTAAATGTAGGTCTTGAGTACTCTTCACATTCTTCTTGTTTGAAGGAAATTGGAATGCCCCACTGTTATGAACTTTAATATTTCTCCCTGGTCTTCATATTTTCACTAATGAACAGTAATCAGCCAGTAATCAGAGAGTTATTAATGCCTCAGGTTTTCTTTCATCCCACCAGCACAGTCAAACAATGAATGGCGAGGCTCATTTTCATCTAATTCTAACGACACAACGTTATTTCATGCCTCAATTTATTTCTCTTGAATGTCACAATAAACACAAGTCTGAAATTATCTTAAGTCCCCATAATAAATCACAATGTTAGATAACATGCATTGATAATGTATTGCACGCATGACAATGTTACATATTTACATAGCTAAACTTTAGAACAGCCCTCTGAGATAAGCATTAGCATTAACCCCATTTTACAGTTGAAGATATTGAGTCATGGGGATAGTAACTTGCAGGAACAAATTTCTATTTTGAAAGTGATGTATCAGTCAGCCCTCAGTGTCCAATGTCTCAGTCATTACACTGTAAGAATGCACCTAACGGTCCGAAGTTTATTGCAATTAAACATCCAACATACCTATCACAGAATTTATTGTGTATTACTTTTTTCTTCACTGATATATATATGAAGGAAAAATACACATATTTTTTCTGTATTGGATTTATTTGTCATTTATTAGTTTCCATTTAACAAAATTATGAACAGGATTGCCTTTCTTATTATTTATAATCATTTTTTAAATCCATTATTATATTTGGCCTTCAATCGACTTCCTGAGGAAAAGAGAACCAATTTAAATTCCTTTATTTTCTGGTAAATGCACTGCAAACCATGAAGAAGATATAATTTATCAGGAAAATACAGCCAGAAGTGTTAATAGCACCACCCTAGATTCAATCATTCAAGGTCCTTACAAAAAGGGAAGCCTTTTATCACCAATGAAACATTGGTTAGCATTTATGAAATTTTCTTTTATTTACACATGAGTGCATGTTTATATTATAATTCATTTTATATTTTTCCATAACATAAAACAAAAAATGTGATCCTCTACATTTTTGTTGTGTAACTGCTTTGTACTTCTTGGAGCTCTTTCAATGTCCATATATATTAAAACCCATTATGCAGCCCTGGCTGGTGTGGCTAAATGGACTGAGTACCAGCCTGAGAACTGAAAAGTTACTGGTTCGAATCCCATTCAGGGCTCATGCCTATGTTGTGGGCTGGGTCCCCAACTGGAGATGTGCAAGAGGCAACCAATCCATGTATCTCTCACACATTGAAGTTTCTCTCCCTCTCTTTCTCCCTCCCTTCCCACCCCAGAAATAAATAAATAAAATCCATTATGCACATACTTTAATATATTTTACCAGAGAATTTAGGGTGTTTTCAATTTTTCTTTCTCTCTTAAAAAGCACTAATGTCCATGTGGGCACAAATTTTTTTTCTTGAACATTTCTGTAACTTTTCTTCCTAAAAGTGGATATATTTCACTCTAAAATTAACATGTTAATTTTGATAAGCGCTAGTAAATTGCCTTACTATAAGCTGCTCTAACTTATACTTCTATTATAAGTATATTTTTATGTTCTCAGCGCAGTCATCTAAGCTGGAAGTTGTCTCCTTTCTTTATTTAATACTTGTTAATAACATGAGTGGAAAAAGATAACTTCTTCCTGGTACAATTTCCAGTCACTGCATTAGAGAGATTGATTATATTTTCATAAATTCACCACCTCCTATATTTCTTCCTTCATGAATTATCTATGCCTTTTACCCATTTATATTTTGGGTTAGTTATTATATTACTTTCCTGGGGTTTCTGTAACAAAGTAACCCCAGGATTAGAGGCTCAAACAACAGAAATATTTTTGTTTCACAATTCAAGAGGCTAGAAATCCAAAATCAAGTGGTTGGTATAATAGGTTCCTTAAGAGGCCTGCGGAGAAATGATCAGATCCCAGCCTCTCTCCTTGGCTTGCCGTGTCTATCTTCTCCCTATGTCTCTTCACAGTGTCTTCTCTGTGTGACTGTGCCTAATTTTCCCTTTTTACAGAAGCACCCTTCTTAGTGGTTTAGAACACACTTTAACAAGCTCATCTTAACTTGATGACTTCTGTAAACACCCATCTCCAAAAGATGTTACATCTCAGGAACCTGGGGTTAGGGCTGCAATGTAAGAATTTTGGGGAGGGTGCAATGCAACTCATAACAGTTATTTAGTGGATTGATGTATAGAAGCTCCTGCCAAGTACAGCTTTTTGTTCGTTGCCATTATATAGAAAATATTTCTCAAATCTGCTGTTGATATTTAAATTTCAGACCTCAATTTTTTCAAATATGTACATAGATAAACCTCCTTTATGGTATTTGGATTGCTCTTGCACAAGTAGATCTTCTCCACTCCAATATTGTTCTTTAAATGTGTTGGATGTTTATGAAAATATATTATATGTTAGTTGCTGCTAAGCTACTAAATTAATTTTAGGATATAATATTTTCTATATTTAGTAAAAAGTAGAAATATGATTTAGATAATGACAACCAGTTGTCCTAGAACCACTGGGACAATTGCTTCCCTGCTCATTTTTGATGTGAGCATGACACTTTTATGATGTGCCAAATTCATTTTACTGTATGTTTTGAATCTTCTATTCTCTGATGAATTTGTCTGTTGCAGTGCCATATCATGGTTTAATTATTAAAACTGCATGCTACATTTTTATATTTCCTAGATTTTTCCCCTATTGTTTTTATTTTTAGTTTTATTGACACAATTTCTCTATCTTTTTCTCCACGGTAAATTTTAGAATCAGCTTATCAATTTCATAAAAACTCCTACAGGGAATTTAATTGAAACTGCATTCATATTATAGTTATATTTAGGGAAATAGACAATAATAAGGCATCTTCTATTTCCAAACATAGAGTGTCTCAGATATCATCCTAGTGCTTTCCTAGGATTTACTGAATTTCTACAGTTACTTCACAGAGTTCTTACTCACTTCCTGTTAGATGGATTGCTATTGCTGTGGCTGGATTTTCTCCATTCAATTGGCTACTGGATTTTTTTTAAGCTATTTACTAAGTTGA